TTTCTTTCCTTTTGGGCACAGGTAGTTGGAGGTCATGCTTGGACTGTCGATAAATGATGCTTGCGAGGACCAGAGTTGGGGGGTTTGAAATGGATGCAGTGAAGAAGCTAATTTCTCAACACAACTACTTCTCAGGCAGCTGCTGTCTCTTTGGGTTGTTGAACGTACATTGTGGTAGTCCCAATGAGGTGGCTGGGAGAGAAGGGAAAGTGGCTGTATCAGATGCAGAGTAATATATATTTGTCATGTATATATGTAAATTGCGTGTATATAGTGCATCTGTATAACATATGTGCATATATGCACGTGCTGGACAGAAGAACACACACCTATAGAGCGTGCATATGTGTATTTCTGTATAAAACATAATTTTCACTGAAATGATGCATCCTAAAGTGTTACTGCAGCAATTTCTACATTTCTACAGGACAAAGCTGTTGAGTAGGTGGCTGCAAACTGCAGTGCTTCTGCTTAAACATGTGGAACATGCCCCGAGTGCTTCACTTCTCAATATTTAAAGATTTAGGGCTTTTTTTTTCCTCCTGTTTTAGAAATAGCCCTACACATATCACTATAGAGACAAACCTGCACTGCTTCAGCCTCCTGGTAGCAGGAGGGGTAGGCTGCAAACCTTGGTTGTCTTGCTTCTTCATGCTTTGAGGTTTATGGTTATTCCTTGTTCCTCATGCAGTCAGGCCAATTGAAAAGAATTGAATATATTTGATAGTAACTGTTCTTATTCCGTGTCTGAGGCCACGTGTGCTGTCTGCAGTGCAGTTACTTCCAAAAGCTGCTGTAACTGCTCTCTGGTGTCTGAGGGCTTTCCCTCCTGCCCCAGTTATATATTAAAATATATATATATTCATTTGAGACAACACAGCGAATAGTCAAAGTGCAGGTGTAATTCTCAGAGCTGTCTCCAGCTGATTTCATAAATGACTTGTATTTAACTGAAAGCCTGTTTCTTTGTAGGATCGACCTTGGAGGTTTCTAGAAGCTGTGGTTTCAATAAGAGGATTCCCAGGTGCATATTGCCAGGTTTTTCCTGCACTTCAGTATTTGGGGGGTGTTGCTGTGAGGGGACTGCAAACGACTGCACCGGTTTCCTCTGGATCCCTCTTTAGGGAGAGACTCGCTTTCCCTTTGTAGAATTTTGGTATGAAGATTTTCACGATACATGGTCAAAGATACATGGTATTAATGGTATTAATGAACTGACTCTGTCAGCACCAGCTTTTAATTATTCTCTTCTAGTAATTGAAACAGCTGCAGTTCAATGGCTAGAAAAGCCAGAGGTAAAGGCAAGAGAAACATCCATGTGGAGTGGGTAGAGCTGAGGAAGGAAGCTGATCACACTATCACAGTCAGGTTTTTAGGGATCCTGAAGAGAAAGGTTGCACATCCTTATTTGCTTCTCTTCACTGTCTAGACTCGTTCCTTTACAGGGAAAACCTGGTTTTCTGTGTTGATGAGTCTGGCATCTTTTCTTACATGAACAAATGCTTTATCAGTAGGAAATAGTCTAGTGTTAGAAAGCAAAGCATTGGTGACAAATACTTAATGTTCAAGGCCAGGTTGGACACAGGGGCTTGGGGCAACCTGCTCTAGTGGAAGGTGTCCCTGCCCATGGCAGGGGTTGGAGCTGGGTGAGCTTTAAGGTCCCTTCCAACAGAAACCAGTCTGGGATAATACAGTTTAGTCCTTTCTGTTGTCTATATTTCTAGGTGAAACAGGAGATGTAACTCAACCTGTCACTGTAACTTTGAGCGTGTTTCTTCCTGCAAAGCTCAGGGAAGCCTGGGGTTCTGGAAGCACAGGAGACTTTTTGGGTCATGCTAGAAAGCATTTGAAAGACTTGAGAACGTTTCCATATGGCATAACCCTGTTTCCACCTAGTGTTTCGGTTCCTCTGATCCTCTGTAGATGGATAAAAGCAGAGAGGTGAGCAGCTGGGTAGAGCTGAACAGCAAATCTTTTAACCACAGCAGATCACTCACTGGGCAATTACTTTTCAGCTTTGTTTTTTACCAGTGTAAGGACTGAAACCACAAGTTAAACTCAGTTGATCTGGGGATGAGTGGCAAAGGAATGTGATCCGAGAACAGAAATGTCTGTTGGGTGGGTGCAGCGCGCTCGAGGAGATCAGCTCGTTTTTCCCTCTGGTTTAAAATGTGTAATTAAACTGTTATTTTGGAGTCTTAATTAAAATACCAGAATAATACACTGTGATTTTTCTGTTGTTTTAGGAATAGTTAATGGAAAGCGTAGAATACGTTTCAGTAGCATTTTCCCGGGGAATGCACAACCCACTCGTGGCTGTCAGGAAGAAAATGGAATTTGATTTCTTGTTTTCCTCCTTACGTACAAGATAGGTGACTCACTGCTCACATGGTGGTTCTTCTGCAAGTGAAAAGCATTTCTGGAGTACCTGGCATTCTGCTTCCTTCAGTTCTGCATCTTGTACAATGGCTCTTTTATCAAGCAGTGTGTGTGGGACATGAGGAGGAGGTGAAGCTGGGCTGGGCTTGGGATTCATGGATTTCAACTGTTTACTGTTCCTGTGTTTTCTGTGGGGGTTTCAGTTAGGTTGCTTGTGAACTAAATGGAAAAATGAATGGGAACAGTAGCCCCCAGAGGAGAGTAGGTGTTTGAGGACTGATGTTGCCCCGTGGGGTGAATGATCTTGTTGGGGTCAGAAGTGGGAAGTAACTGATTCCTGGGTGTGCGTTGATTGATTTCAATACCAGTCAGTGCTTGGGAATGGCTGTGTGGCTCCAGCTAGTTTTTAGTTTACTGGTCAAGAGCTGCTTTTGGAAAAGTGGCCCATTGGTTGTCCTCAGCCTCATTCTTTTGTATGGGTAATGCTGCTGTTACGAAATGAACTGTGTCATCAGCTCCTTGGGGTCAGCAGAGCAGGAGATGCAGACTGTAAGAGCAGTTCCCATTTGGTTGTGCTGGATGTGAGGAAGGAAATAACAGCGTTTGCTGTTTGGGTTTTAAGACAGTTTTTGTATGATGGCAAATGCAACAGCAAGATTGAATGTATGAATTTAAAACCGTGATGGTTTTCTTTGTGGTTATAGTAGCTGCTGTCTGACATCTCTTTCAGATTTCGTTTTTGGTTAAATCTGTTAAATCCTGCACTTCCTTCAGTGCAGAGAAGGCATGGTCTAACAGTCTGGTGTTTTATATATATGTATGTATGAGACTGTTGCAGGTGATATTTATGAGGGTGTAAAGACAGGCATGGTTGTTGGCATGTGAACGCATCAATTCTTTTACTGAAAGTAAGACTTCTTTAGCCTAAACCCACGTACCTGCTCTCTGTAGGGTGGTGTTTATAGCACATAAACTCTTGTCCTGCACGGCAAAGGTCTGCTCAGCCTTCCTGGAGCAGTTTCTATGGAGTTTGTTGCCTTCATTAATGCTGCTTATGTGTAATTTGGAACTTCAGAGGAGTGGGAGAGTGGTCCTGAGCTGTTTGTCAGAGAGTGCATCTGGGTTTGCATTAGTCCTCAGCTCCCACCACCCTGCGTTACTGCAGCTCCTCGCCTGTGGTTATGGTAACAGCTTCAAATGCCCAAAACTATTTTGGGCAAACGTTTGCAATAATAATGATCAGAAGCAGCAATTATTCCCTGGTGATTTCATCCTCAAAATAAACTGAATAGCGTAGGTTTCACCATTACAAAACCCTATCGGAGTGCTATTAAATGCTATTAAACCTTTCAGTTTAGAGGGATTCTGTGCCTGGTTCTGTTCTTTATTGCGGAGCGGCGTGACAGGGTGTTGGCTTTTCTGTGACAGGATTAAGCTGTCCTGATGAACAGAGGAATCATCGAGCTGTACAGAGACTGTTCTGACATCTCAAGATTAAACATCTTCGTGTTGAGTTGTCTTCTGTGGCAGTACAGTAAAAGTGGTTTGTTTCTTTCTTTCCCCTCTAAGGGAGTCAGCGCAGTTGAAGCTCTGCCGTCTTCTCCCTAAAAACCTGCTCTGCTTATGCACAGTGTTCCCTCCCATGCTCCCCACGGTCACCAGCGCCGGGAGGTCCCCAGGCAGAGCGCGGAGGTGTGGGGTGGTCCCTGCTGGCCACCGGTGTGACCATCTGCTCCATCAGTTCTCCAGGCGATGTCTGAGCTGCTGGGGGGGGTGTTGAGCATGAGGCTGTTGATAGCATCCCTCCAAAGCCTGCGATAACAGCGTGCTCCTCTCTGCTTCTCTGCTGCAGGAGACGGTGGTATTTGTGTTCCCATAGCGTGTTGTAAAATGCATGAGATTTTGCTCATCCTCCTTGGAAGTGAGAATAGGAAAATGAGAGCATCCTGAAGCAGAAGCTGTTAGAAGAGCATGCAGAAACCTGCAGTGATTTGGGCTTTATTTTGTCTTCCTAGCTATGGATTAGAAGGACTGATTTTTGCAATGGGCTTTTTCCATAATGGCATTCTCGTATTATTTGGTCAGAGCTTGCACAGGAGGAAAACAGGCTGCTGAATTTAGTCACTGATCTCTCTTAGCCGTGGCCTAAGGCTATGCTGAGATTTATATCCCATTTGTATTGTTGCAGCTCAAAAGAAGAATGTTCAGAGGATGACAAGTGTATTCTGAGTAGGTATGTTGTTTCATTTTCATATGAAACCCATTTTTTCTTTTCCTGCTTCCATTGGCCAGAAAGGAGGTTAATAGGAAGAGAATAGAGTGCAGTGCTGCAGTGTCCCTGTTCAGGTAGAACAATAGCATCCGACACAGCTCTGTAAAAATTAGCTGCTTTTCAGATCCAAAGCTGCATTGTGCTGGTGTGCACAGTGCAGTCTGTCTGTCTGGGGGGGGTTTTAAGCATCTACTGCAGTCAGCGCTTCCCTGACGAGGTGGCACTATTGTGGAGTTGAAGGATAGAATCATCACATCGCTTTAGGGGACAGCAGGATTTAAAAGGAGATGGCTGGCAGCCTTGCTTTGCAGCTCGGGAGCACCGGTTTAAGGGCATTGGCAGAAGCAGCTCCTTGTTCCTAGCAGCAGGCACTGCTGTGTCAGTGGTGTGTGTGGAATGGAAGTCCTAGTTGGTAGCCTGTTATGGAAACGCTGTTTGCTGTTATTGTAGTACCGTGGTGACAACATGCCATTGAAATGGAAAACGAGCTCTCCTGCTATCTGGAAATTCCCAGTTCCTGTGCTTAAAACATCCAGGTCATCGCCACTTTCTCCAGCATACATGTAAGTGAGAGAAATGAGGATAATAAGGTGGGATTGCTTTTGTGAGACTACCCTGTGGCAAAGTACCCTGTTATGTGTTAAATGACATTGGCACTCAGAATTTTACCTTGTTTTCTGTGTAGACACCCCCCCCCCAGACTTTATCCTGGATGTTTCATGGTGGATGTTGTGTTAAGTCTTTCCCTCTTTGTTGAAACAGAGAGAAATTGTGCAGATTAAGCTATATTCGTAATAATATGATCTATGTTCATTTGAAAAGTTTGTGTTGCTTTTAATCTGTAGATCTTGAATTGACAAGGAAAGCTCTGAGGCAGGCTTTCCTTCTAGTGTATATGCTAACATTTCCTCCTCCTGACTATTGCACTTGGAAACTGAACACGAAATCACCTGCTGTATTGTACTGCACTTCTGTTCCTGTCAGATCTTGTATGGAAGAAATCACCTGCTTTCATCTTCTTTTATTCTGGAAAGTCTTAGCCTTAATACAGATTGAATGGCTTTTGACAAAGTTACAATAAAAGCTTAAACCACAAGTATCAATCATTCAGATCTAAGTACTTCTAGTGATGCGGTTTGTCCGTGTAGAGTAGCTTCATAGAAAAGAGCATTTTAATACACTCAGAAACAATGTGCCTTTGTCTTGCCAAATCTTGTTGGAGCTTTTGTTCACCTTTTGCTGCTGCCAGCTCTGGGTTAGCACATACAGGTGGCTTTTTTCCTTCTGTGCAATCAAACTGAGCATAGGGAGTTGAATTGCTTCTGCCTTTCTCTAAGAAAGCAGCTCTTTCAAAACGAGGAAGAGTTGCTCTAAAATGCTCAAGTAGCTGTGCAGATGATTTCCCAATCTCGAAATGACTATAAAGACTATTACTTTCCAATAGTGTTCCAGCCCAATACCTACAATATTGGTGCTTTTAAGCTTGTATTGTCATCTTGCAGATAGGTTTTTACTTCAGCTCCTGTGAGGACATGGCTGTAAAAAGGGAGTTTAAGGGGTCCTCTGCATGTCGTGATGTTTGGCTGCTGCTCTGCATCACCTGGATAAGCAGCGGGGCCGGAACATCTTGACAGGGCTGCAGGGTCCCTCTGGTCCTCGCTGGGAAAGGCTGGGCTTTAACAGCTAACCTGTTCGAGATGAGTCTTCATTTCAGCCTTTCCACTCACTGGCTGCCTCGTGTGCTTAAGGCTACCAGAAGATGAGCTATTTCCAGTAAATTGCTACTTACTCTGAGTTCTTAAAAAATATTGGCTAAACACAAAGGAAGCGTCGTGATGAGAGTTGTGAGGCTTTTGAACCTCTTTCAGGGAAGCAGTGTCTTCAGTGTTGTACATTATGCTTTTGGCTTTTAGACTATAGTACTTATTAAATGCAAGAAAGGTCAGAAGGAGCCTGGTCTGCTCTGTCTGCTGCTGACACTGAGCGTTGCTTTTGTGTTGCTTTAAATTGCTCATCCAGCACCGTGTGTGCTCCGGCTTTCCTGGTTGGGATCATGCAGCCGATTATCTCAGTGTGTTCAAAGTGTGGGGACAGGTTTAGTGATCATGCTGAACTATATGATGCTGAGCTTATCCGGAGCATCAGAAATATGTGATAAGCAGCCCTAAGAACCTTTTTATAATGAGTCCCTGTATCCTAGCGTTTATGGAGACGTTTCTTCCCTGGCACACAACCCTGACATTAGCAGGACTCTAAAACTTAACATGAAAATCGTTCATATACTTTATTATAAAGATTGAGAAACATTACAAAATGGCACCTATTTGGTTAGGCAGTATATATATATCAACTAATAACCCCCTATCTAATTTAGGTTGACCAGTAAAGCAGGTGATGGAATTAATTATCTTCATTGCAGAGATCACAGTAAATTTGCGACTGTTTTACGTGATATGATGTTTTCCACATTCATATTCATAACTTTTCCTTCCTAAATAGTACTCTGCACACTGGCAAGAGGCTTATGTTTTAGGTGAAAAATTCAGGAATAAGTGGCATGTGAAACAGGATGTGTATGGATGTAAAATAAATGACCCTAAAACTCCTGAATTCACAGGTAAACACCCCTATACTTGGTATGTTGGATGTAGGGTGTAGAAAGGTAGAATTGAGTTTTCGATCCCTTTAATAACTGACATCTTAAGCTTGTAAAATAGGTTTGTGGTATAATTTGAAATGTGAAGTAGGGAGGTCTTAAAGGGTTGGGGGTTTTTGGGAGGTACGTAAAATGAAATTCCAATTTTTCAGGTTTTTCTAGCAAAGTTCCCTTAACTTTACAAGCTTCATCCTGCTTATGATTTACAAGTATCTTACTTGGAGGTTAAACTGGTTGTCAGGACACACGGGTTTTATTAGTGTTTGATTTGGTGTGTGTAGCCAATGCCTGAGCTCTGCCTTAGTTTCCCCGTATGGAAAGGCTGAGACTGGTGGTTCCAGGCACGTTTGGCTGCTGGGATGAAGCAGGTACAAAGTTCCATTGGAAAGCAGGTGACTGTCCTCAGGCTGTGCAGCTGGGAGGGGGTTTGTGGTAGTTCCTGGGGTGGGGAGGGAATTCAAAAGGCTGGTCCCAGAGAGTTCTCTGCTGCAGTAAACTTGTGGCTGGGTGGGATGTGAAAGGAAGGACCTGCTGCAGCTGAGCCCATGACTTTGCAGCGAGGACATGGTTCTGTTAGTGCTGGTGTTGCTGGGTCTGGTTTTGCTTTCCTGGCAGCAGAAAGGAGCAGCAGTGAATCGCTGCCTCTTGGCTGGTGGCTTTGTTCACCTCAAGTTATTTGTTTGGGATAACTTTGGGATATCCTGACTGCAGGAGGTAACTCTTCACATTATATGGAGGGCAGAGGGTTCCCCTGATGGAACAGATGTGCCCTGGCTTCTGGGAGAACTGATCCAGAGCAGCTTGAGCTTTCCCTCAAGTTGATGGGAGATTGTGACATTGCATAAAGAAAATGAGATCATGTTAGGACTGAAGCACTGGCGTGTGACCAGCATGTGTAGGTGTAATGCAGCCTGGCTCAGCGCACAAGTTAGGAATGTGCTGTACGTGCCTCTGTCAAGCTGCTTTCCAGTTCCTTTCGTGACACTTGCAGTGTTGGGGTTTAGAATTTATATTCCTGTTGTCAGAATGAGTGTGAAAGCTGTTACAGCAAGTTTATGCTCTGCTAGTGAAATCGTATTTGTGGCTGTGTCGGCTATGTGGGGACAGACCTAGGTGGCAAAATCATAGGATCACAGAGTGGTTTGGTTTGGAAGGGACCTTAAAGCTCACCCAGTTCTGACCCCCTGCCACAGGCAGGGACACCTTCCACTAGAGCAGGTTGTTCAAAGCCAGGACTGTGATAATATATAATAAAGCTGGGGCTATAATAACATATTGTATGAGCTGGTGAGCAGTTCCAGCAAGTGAATCGGAAGAAAGGACAAAGGGAATAATACCGAGCTGCAGAAGTACTATTCCTTGACATCATAGCCATGTACTGAGAGCCACATGTTTGAAACGAAAAACTCTGGTGCCTGACATGAGCAGAGGCTGAGAACAGACACCCTGCTTGAGAGAGAGTGAGGAACAGGTCAGCAATTGGCTGTAGAACACAGCTTGGAGGTGTGAAGGAACATGTCCTTCTCCATTACTGCCTATAGGTCCCAGTTATTGTTTAGGCAGCTCAATTACTGTTCATGGGTCACATCATCTCATACTCTCAAGACCAAAGAGAATTCCTTGTTATTCACAGCAGCAGTGTCTGCTCTATGGTTTTCCGAAGTTGTACACAGCTTCCATTGACAAGGATGGCAGTAATGTCTGTGGAAACTGGAGATTAAAGTGCAGTGATGGACGTCTGCAAAGAATTCAATAGTGCAGAAACAGTTTGCAAAAATACTATTTTCAAGCATCCTCTGACATAGGCTTGTTCTAGAACGTCAAGTGGCTTCAGCCTCCAACATGCCATAGTTAAAAAGAAGCAAAATTCTTAATGCAGAGTAATCTGTCTGTAAAGTCAGTGCCTTCTCTCCTTTAACATGGAATAGTGTGTCCATATTGCCGGTGGAAACTATCCTTTGCGTGTGTTTTCATAAGTAACTGACTGACATTAGGAGACAAATGCAATATTCCAAATCCTGCTATCAAAGGGTTTGTAACACTGTCTGTTCTGAGCTGTGTTTGTGAAATCTATCTAATGGGAAATGCTTGGCAGTAATGGAAATCAGTTGCAGAAATTGTTAATACTCTGGTGTAATCAGTGTTAGCATTAGCTGCTTAGAAGGTTATATAGGTTAATGCTTTTGTGTCTTCTTTCAAATCTCTGATTTGCTCTACAACGAGCTCTTTGAATTTATGGTGTACAATGATGTGTACTTAAATGGGAGGAGGTGCGTATGCAGAATTCACCAGACCAGCCCTATTAGTGCTTTTCTGTGAGACCACCCTCTGTGTTTCTACTGTCTTCACTGGTCATTTTTAGTAAATCACCCCTGTTGCTTGGCTCTCAAGCATTTGACCCCAGCTCAGACTCTTCTGTCTTCAGCAACGTTTTCATTTTAAGCAGGTATTTCCTACATATTTCAGATTTCAACATCAATGTGCAGGTCATCCCTGCCATTCTGTCATCTCATCTGACAATGCACAAAACCAGATCAACGAATAGAAGGGAAATAGAAGGGGCTTATATCTTATAAATAGACGACTGCTTTAAATGCCAGTAATTTTGTATACATAATTCTCATTTGTGCCTGCTGATCTGACTTTTGCTTTTTAAATTATAGGTATTTCAGTAGTTTATTCAAAATGAAAATCCACTGCAGTAATAAACTGTCAAACCCAGGGAAAACCCAAACCCATTATCGTGAAGCTTCCCAGTGCTGGTGGTTTCTCTGGGCAGCCGTTCAGAGGGGATGCTCACAATTACCTTCTCTTACATAGCACAATGTTGTGATATTGACTTTATGTCATGATATGCTAAAGCAACTTCATTGAGCTGTCTTGAGTAAGTTCCTCAGCCTGTTCTGT